AACAATACTATAACTAAAGAAATATAAAATATATATATATTTGATTGTTTCTGCGATTTTCTGTTTCTATATACTCATCTGCAATGGCCTGATTAATTAATTTCACGCTGTAGCCCCAGAGAAGATTTTCCCACAAACAAGTGACCAAGAAAAAAAAAAAGAAGACTACGAAAGAAAAAAAATCTCCCAAAGAAAGAAAGAAAGTCAACATCAAGTTCAACAACGTGCTGGTGCTCATTAGCATCACAATGCTGTCTGGGAGCACACAAGTCTTCTTAACAAGAGGCTCTGGCGTCAAGTCCCTCCACCTCCCAGCCAAGGGGACATTTTCCCAGGCTCTGCTAACAATCACACAACTGTTTGCTTTATAAACGCCAGCTCTGGGGCCACTAAGCCCGCCTCATCAGCGCTCAATGGATGGGCCCGCTAATATGGGATGGAAGGGCCGGCTGCCACTCATCAGTTAGAGCTCACCATAATTGACAGCGAAATTTTCAGTTTAACTTGAACCACTATGCAACCTTTACTGAAAAGTGCATTTATATTTCTGCATGATTTTTTTTAACTTACATAAATACTATTACATACAATTATTATTATTATTATTATTATTATTATTATTATTATTATTATTATTAGTATTATTATTATTATTATTAGTATTATTAGTATTGTTAGTATTATTATTAGTATTAGTATTGCTTTTAGCGATAGTGCTTTTGAAATATGTTACTCGAGCTACCTTTCCCCCCCAGAGTCTCAAGGTTAAGACTACATGACCTTAAATTAATCATATTAAAAACATACTTACAAGCTGTGTACTCAGTAAATCCCACATCTCCAGCTGAAGTCCATTCAGTGCGTTAATTCAAGTTTCTATCGGCCATCTCTCAAGTGCAACCAAACTCTAAGAGCCCAAAGTCCAGCCAATCGATGAACAAGCCTTCGCAGATTGAGAGTAAATCTACACAATGAGTTGATCCAAACCCAAAGAAGTGTGGTTTTTCTTTTTTTCCTTTTCATGACTTTCTTTTCTTTTTTTCCTTTCTTTAAAAAAAAATCACTGCCATTACTTCTGCATCGACACAAGCCAAGGCCGAGGTGATACTGCTGCCAGCATCCTCCTGCTTTCTTCTCACCAGCCTCGGATGACAGTATGCGGTGATGTTGCGTCGCCGGTCCCCTCCTCTCTCTCTCTCTCTCTCTCTCTCTCTCTCTCTCTCTCTCTCTCTCGCTCTCTCTCTCGCTCTCTCTCTCTCTCTCTCTTGCTCTCGCTCTCTCTCTCTCTCTCTCTCTTGCAAACATAACGCCTGGTGTGCACGACGTGTACAGAAACTCAAACATTCTTCGGTGACCATTGTGAAATCCATTGTTATGCTTGAATGACGGGTCTCTCTTTCTTTAAGTTGCATCCAGCGTTTGATATACGTGGTGAGCCGAAAAGCACAGTCTCTGTGGCTGCTGGTGAGAGAGCCCAGGAGACGGAGGAGAGAAAGGAGCCAGGGAGAATCAACTGGAGACAGACGCAGACCTCAAATTTTGGTCTACTGGGAAAAAAACGACAGGGTAAAAGGCGCCCTGCTTTTTATAGTAGCATACTCTATGGCAGAAGGTTTTATATTGCACGAAGAATTGATATGCTCATAGCCTCCATTCCCTTCCAGCCTCATCTTTCCATCTCTTGCCTCCTCATGGTCGTCAATATACAGAAGTATAGGACAAAAAATAAAACAAACAAACAAACAAATAAACAAACAAAACCAACAAAACGATCTGTTTTAGGCAGCGGTGGTAGTGACATCTGGAATGAGCAGTGATCTCCACACATTGCTTGACTGAGGCACCTGTGACAACATCTTGCGTACGGGAACACCGAGCCACACCGAGCAGCAAAGCACAATAAAAGCGACCGCAGATTTACACGTTTCCGTGGGTTTAAAGGCGCACTGCAGGATAAACGCTTGAACAGTAAACGATTTGTAAGAAAAGGAGAAGAGCACACAGCAGCGATGTGTGATGTGCTGTTGCCGCAGCCTTAGCAGCGCAAGGAGAAGCTGATGCTTCCCCAGAGCTCCAGTGGGTCACGTTGCTTTACGTGGTGCTACGTCTTCTCCTCTGTGCGTAACAGAGCGCACGAGTGAACACTCGTGTGCCAGATGTCGGTATCAGAGCTGATAAAAACGCAGCATTCAGTCTGTAAGAAAACGAAATCATACTGCAGATACTAACATACAGAGAGGAGAGTCGAGGATAAAAGGTACAAAAACGAGCCGCGGAAACGAGCGTGATTCTTTGCGTGCTTACGTCAAGCGATGGGGTACATTCTTCCAAATGTGTCATCCAATAGACTGCGTGTGCGACGCAGGGTTAACATTCACGAGTTCAAAACACGGATGCCTGTTATAATACGGCTTTATTCCTTCTGCATTTATCTGAAAACATGTTTGGCGCGTGGACCCATTAATCCCAGAAGAAATTTTACATTTTTGACTTTCTAAACGGCAATCTGCCCCCCCCCCCCAAAAAAAACCAAGTGTGTGCGTAAATATAACTGTCCAAATGTCAGAATTTAGGAAGATTAAAAAGAATAGGCCAAAGGAAAAGCAGTTATGTATTATTTGGCTGGTTTAAATTATAAATTAAGACAACAGAAAAGTAGAAAAGATTAACCAAGTAGAAAATTCAAAGCAAGATTTAAAGTCACAATTTAAACTCAAGCCAAGGAAACCTGATCATTATCATTATTAATTGTGGAGTTAGCAGAAGTATAGTGACAGCAGCGAGAGAATTGTTATGAATATAAATCAGACATACGGTTCGACATTAAACTGCATTTTCCCGTTTATAGAAGCAAGCAGACCATACACAAATTTAGAACAGAAACCAGAGTTTATTTATTTTTGTTCTTAATATTTAGTCCTGCAGTCAAATCAACTTGGGTCACAGCTGCCCGTGGATCATGAGGGCTCTTACAATTAAAGACTATAAATCATATGTCCCTTTATTGTTCTCTAAATATATTAACAGTGTTGCGAGGTTCCCCTTAAGCATCCACACATCTCCAAGTGTATAATGGCGGTCAATTAAATCAAAGTGAATCAGTAATCTCATAACTGTGGCCCTTAATAAGGCCGGCACATCCGCACTTCTTTGCCGCGTAGTTCAGATCATTCGAGCCGAAACAGCGTCACCTAACGGCACAAACTCAGAGCTGCTGTTCGGGCCTGCATGCTTATTATCTCCGGCCTACGTCCACAGCACATTGCAAACCACAAAAAACGACATATTACCCCGTGACATCAATGTAACAGGAATAGAGCCATGAATAGAAACGATAGGATGCATCAAAACTATTGATTTCTGCAGATGTAGTGACTGTAAAATTGCAGGAGTAACTGATAGGCCTGATATTTTGTGTTTATTTGTTTTCACATTACAAAGCACGCACAAAGAATTTGAAGATCGTTAGTGTCACTCTAATGGAGATGCATAATATTAGTTACTTCATCATCAAAATCCTCGTTGCATAATTGGTGGTACTGAATAATATCCATGCACAGGCCTACATGATGCTACAGAATTGTCTGCAGGGCATTATTCTCTGCAGCATTGGAGAAAAACGTGATTGATCTTCGTGCGAATGCTTTGAAATTTAGAGGCTTCAAACCGAAATAGGAGCGCATGAAACTGCGTAATCTCTTTAGCAGAATGACCTGCAGTCACCATATTTTAGAGCAGCAGTGTCTTCGTTTTCAACGTAAGTAAGCTGTAAAATCATATCTAGAATGCGCAATCAACTAATATCAAAGGAGTCTAATATTTTATAGAGACAGGAGAAGGACGGTTGTATCTTGTTACATATTTTTGTGTTGTTTTTTGTTGTTGTTGTCTGCAGTAGAAAAGCGTTTCCATTAATACGAAGTAATGACACACATATGCACGTGTAAATGCTAAATACATCCCTTAGAGGCAATTATACTGAAGGTTTGCAAATCTACACACAGTTTAAAAAAATTTGTTGAGATTATTTTAGATTTTTTTTTAAAATTTACATCGACGAGTAGGACATGTAGGACAACTGGAGAAAAAAATAATTAAACGTTTGTCCCTTTCTTAGCACAATGTGAGGTTTAGTTGTCCTTTTAATGAAGAGTTGATATCTTTGGGCAATAAAAATTGAGTGCTTTAGAAAGTAGAGGTTTAAAAATGGTTTTCAAATACGGTAAAATTACACAGGTCAGGCAAATCGAATAGTGGTGCAATCACCGGTAAAAGACAATCGAATTCACCAAGGGAGTAGCAACGTCTAGCTCAACATGTGTTTGTCGTGTCAGTTCCTCCTATTTTAATTTTTGCATAAACCTACATTTGGAAAAAATTACCTGGACAACATACTAAATATATTTATTGACTAAAAGAAAAAAATCAATTTATTAATCGGCTCACAAAGTCATATTTATAAGGTACGTTCAATGGTGCTCACAAAACTGGAGATTTCTTTTCTTCTTTATATGAATCTCATCTGTTTAATTTACAGACTGAAAAGCTTAATGAAAAGTTAGTTTTCTTGCACTCATAATTCACGATTTCCTAAACTGCATCCAACTTCCCCTTAAAATCATTCATTCCTGTCAAATTTGTATGGCTGTCATCATGCATGACCACACTGAACTCTGTTGGGTTCAATCGTTAATAAGTGACCGATTCAAGTGGCCACTTCTGGGAATTGTAATGGCCGCTCTTCAAAGAGGCCTGACCTGACACTGAAACAGCGGTGTCAAAGGTCACACATGAAGACCAACAGGAAGCCAATATTTGTCCTTCAGTCTGTCATGCCCCTAAATTAGCGCCTAAGTACTGCAGTTAATTGTCATAAGTTGTTTTGGGGTTGGTGGAAAGCTCTGATTCTCCAAAAGGGTTTAAAACATTCATATCTAAATTAATAATGAATTTGGCAGTTTTAAAAGTAATGCCTTGTGAGTTTTCCCACAAATTTGAATTGTTCAGATTATAAGTATTAGCATCATTATGTCTGGGGAAAAAGAAATGATGGGCATGAAAAGCTCTGAAATTTCCATGTTGACTTTTGTCCAACTGAAAGAGACAGATAAATAAATAGATAAGGTTCAGCGCAGTGAGCTCCTCTAGTTTTGAACTGATCACATTATTTGCAACATTGAATAGTTTGTGATATTTTATAATATATTTTGTTTTCTCAGTTATGGACGTTTGCTGTGGTGATGGGAGAATTATTCACTGATAGTGAAATCCATGCTAGGAGACTTGTTTGTTTGTTTGTTTGTTTGTTTGTATAGCAGCACGTGACAAAAGCAATTATTTTAACAGCATGTAATTCTTAATTAGCAATTTGGAGACTGACCCACTTACATCCTGGGTCAGTTGAGATCTGGTGGCCAACCTTTCAATATCTGTGAGAGGCATTTAGAGGTCCATGCATTGGGCTGACATACCTACACACAGCCCTGAAGCGATCAACTGACCTAAAGCAAAATCAGTTTCATCGCACTGATAAAATCAAACACTCAACTCATGAAACACACTTAAAACACAACAGCATAGGCGGCACGTGCACTTATCGCTGCAACATCAACAAACCCCACGTTCATGAATGCAACACAGAAGCGATCAGATCATTAAAAAAAAGAAAAAGAATAAAACAGAAAAAGAAAAAAAAACATACTGTGCAAATGCTAAACTTACATGTCAAAGAAACTGATAACCAGAAAAGTCATTCAACTTACATTTCATCACCTGCTTCTGGTTCTTGATCCTCAGGCTGAGGAAGAGATGTTGATGCTTTCTCCACCATGTGGAAACAGAGGAACGGTCTTGCTGCTTTCCTGGTTTAATTGGGAACAGGCTGGAGTTTATGCTAATGAGCGCTGACATCAGTTCTAGCAGCCCCCCACTCCATAAAGGAGGAGAGCAAAAGGGCCAAAGTCGCGCCTCTTTTCCCAGGCAATTCCGTCGGTCAAGTTCAAGCACAGCGGTTGTCATTTAGAAAATGTGACTGCGCAGATAAAAATTAGGGGAGGGGGGTAGATTTATTTAATTTTTTTCCTAAATGAAAAAAACTATACATTTTTGTCTGTTTGACATTTTTCCTAGTGTACCAACAAATTTGAGTGATAACGTTTCACAATGAGCATGTGAGTTTGGAAATTTCTTTCCAAGAGTAAGAAGACTCCCCCATGGGGCTGACAAAATATTACCCCAAGAAATGTTTTCTTGGAGTAAAAAAAGAGGTGCGTCCAGTTAACACTTGATATTCTTCGGATTCATGGAATTTATACCGAGTACATGATGTAGTGGTCGAGTACAGTAGTGGTTGAGAAAACTGAGATGCTGAAGGTTCATCTTTGGCTAAGTGAGTGTAACTGTCGTTTCCTCTGGCAAAGAGAAGTTAAAAAATACCTCAAGCACCAGCTTTCTCGTGGGTTTTTTTTTTTTTTTTTTTGCGTGTACTTGTTCATCACTCATCTGTGCATGCGAGCGAGTGGATGATCCATGGGATCATCTATGCTGCCGGAAACACAAGCACTCGGTGAAACAGAATTAGCGTCGTACATTTGCGTAATTACAATCTAAAGTGTGCAATCATTCATGTCTCCCAAATCCAGAAACCGTGTGAGGAGACGCCAGCGCAACAGCTTAACGCATCGCAGCAGAATCAAGCTGAGCCAATTCTGCCGTGTTTGTCTCTGAATCTGAAAACAGACGGCCATGATAGGTCAGTGAATACGCAGATGTAAGGCCAATACGCATCTCAAAGGCTTCATTTGTGGGTGAGACACAGCAGGTGTGGGACTACAGTTTGTTTTTATTATAGCATGTAAGCTTTTACAAAGAGCACTCATTAAATGGTTTTGGTCAGTAATCTCTCTTAGATTTTCTTTTTCTTCCTCCAATCAACCTCCTTCACAGACACGTTTTGCCAAATAACGGCAGGTAAAAGAGGCACAGGTGTGCATAATAATATTAATGATCTGAATTATATTTGGTCCTGAGCTGGTGCATGTTGGTAGTATGGCTGCTGCATTCAAGCACAGAGCCATTTTGAATGGAACATCTGTGCTTCTCCTGTTGCAGCGATACTAAGTTCCTTGAGGCTGGTTAAAAGAAATGCATTTTTTTCTTATTAATGGAGAGTGATCAGAAATGTACATGATAAATAAAAGCTATTTGATCACTCTGAAAGGAAATAACCAACCAGACTGTTATATTTGACACCTATGACAGTGTTTGGCTTGTATACACTGTAGAAACAGATGTGGGATCAGGTTTTTTTAAAAGATAATGCCTCAGCAGTGAATCGCCTTAACAGATGCAGTGTAACCTTCCTTATAATATATGCCTGGTAATTAACAATCATGACTCTCACTACTCTTTTAAATAAATCCATGTGACAAAGCAGATCTGGCCCTCCGTAGCTGGTTCCCACACAGCAGAGGAGGCAGCAGTTAGGAAAAGAGACAAAAAGGAAAAGAGCGGGGAAAATGAAGGGAGACGAGAGAGGTGGTGGGGGGAGTGTTTCCTTTGACGGGGCACCATTGCAACATTTGCATATATTCAAATCAGGTGATGAATGTCATGCATGAGGGTGAACAAAGACAAGCCAATGGGAGGGCTGCGTCTCTGCTGCAGGCTCAGAAGCAGCCGTCGGTATCCCAGCAGCACCCTGGGAGAAACACGGGGAAGTGGTGTGGGAACCAAGAGGCCCCCCGATCTGAGCAGAGGGAGGGGAGCCACTTGTAGTCTGTGGTGAATTTGCATTTTATTTGTGTCCATTTTCCTCAGTAATTTCTGCCCCAGCACTTCAACCACAGATGGCTAACACAGGAAGAAGGATTTGCATTTGTGTCAAAGATGATAATGATGGACATGTTTTCCACCCAGACAGAGACATTCCTTCTCTGGGTCTGAATTACATTTTAATGTCTCGAAAAATATACAAAATATTTAAGAAATTACTATTTCCTTTTGTTTGTGATCAATGCCAGATGTAGGCATTGGAAAAGTCAGAGTTTGCACAATGTCAGGATGATCTATGAATGCTGTGCTATCCACAAAAGACAAAGCCAGAAATGACTCAGTGTGTATTTCATAACCCAGCAGCATCAAGAGATGGCTTAACAAATAGCTCTATGTCTTAAAAGCTGATATGCAAAAGTGAAATTCTAATTAAAACTCTCGCTAATCTCACAAACGCATTGCCTGAAGGTGGAGGCTGGAGGTGGATCATAAACATCAGTCACGCACGCAAAGCTTGATATTGAGTTAAACCACTAATTTCACTTGATTTATGTTTGCAGATGCTTGCCTGATGGTTCATACATGCCCACGAGAGATGCTGTTGCTTCACTGCACAAAGCTCCATTTGATCAAATTCACAGCTCCTATTGAAGCGCCATGCTCTCGCACCCAAATTCACAGGGCGAAGGATCAGGCACATCTTCAGTAGAAGGGCTGCCACCAATTAGCAGAAAGTTGAAATTCAATCAGCTTCAGGAGACCAGCCAAATAACATGAACACACATGCTAAACACAGATTTAAATGCTGTGAATGGGTCTTGGGAAAAGATCTTTAGAGGGCATGCTGCTGGAAATACTTGGCACTGTTGGGGGCTTTAGATGGGATGAGCTGACATTATAATGCATGTTCAGGCCAAGTGTGGATATGTTTCTGGGTGTACGATCATTTGGAACTTCAGAGACAAACTATACCACCCATGAAGGATGCACCGAGCTGTTTCCTGCACTGTCTCAGGTCCCAAACAACTCATTGTTTACTGTATTCCGATGCCTGCAGATTGTGTTAAAACACTGTCAAATTGCAAAGACATACACTTTGTCTTCAGGTTTGAAGATAACTGTGTTGGTATAGTAAAGTTTCTTTTACCCATCAAAATGGGAAAATAATACTTTATTAATAACATGATAGCATCAGAAAGTGTGCTCTCTTCTTTACTCATTCCCTGGTGTTTAGTGTTTTAATACCAAATCAGAGAGTAACAGGAGCATATCAGAGACTTTAAGCTTCACAATCTGCATAATGTTTGTTTTTATCCAATGAAATGCTAAGATGCATGATGGTGGAAGCATGAAACCTGGAGATTATCATTAGAAGGATCACACAGAGGCATTAAGGGGCACTGAAGAATAACAAGGAAAGATGAAGGGTACAATTTTACATTTAATTAGAGATGAGAAGTAAAAGCAAAACCTCTTTACAAGTTTCCTTATTGTTTGTCATTTTTATACTGCAGAATATGTATTAATTAACAGACATTTTCACACTATTATTTTTTGTATGTTCAAATCGTAAAACCGGGGGAAATGATGCAATAATTTTCAATCATATTTTCAATCATATTTTTACTATCACAGTGGCATTTTTTTTGTCTCTATCAGGGGACTAAGAGCAAAGCATTGTTATTCTGATGCCTTCATAAAAATCGGAAAATGTTCACGTGAACGAGTGAACATTTTCCGATTATGGCTGTTGTAATCGGAAAATGTTCACTCAACAGTATGGCTGTTGTGTTATTTTGATTTCAGTAAAGTTGCGAAAGTGAAATACTATGCCTAATTGCTACATTATAATTGCTACATTATAAACAAAATCCCCCAAATCCATATTTTAATATTAGTAATTGAAAATGTTAAAGAGGTAAAAAGGAAGGGGCAGGAGTAGTAGAAATTGTATTTCTGTCTACCTATACTGTTTTTCTTTCTCAAGGGTTCTCACCTTTCAGTTCTTATACTGATTGCCCGCAGTAGGCTTAGGCGGCTCTAATTTTGCTTGGCCGCAACTTTTCTTTTCTTTTCTTTTCTTTTCTTTTCTTTCTTTTCTTTTTCTTTTTTTTTTTTTTACCTGGGTGTTCAAATCAAATCACTTTTATTGTCACATCACATGTGCAGGTACACTGGTACAGTACATGTGAGTGAAATTCTTGTGTGCAAGCTTCACGAGCAACAAAGTTGTGCAAAAATACAATAACATAAAACAAGCAAAATATAGGAATGGTTCAGGCTAACTTTATCTATGGTTCACTTTATCTAAAGTGACTCTTTGGATAAAAAGAAAATCTTTCAACATTAGCAATTTGAATGTGTGATTATGAAAACAATGATTCGTTTTCTCTGAAGGTTAACCAATTAAGAAAAAAAAAATTAGTAGAAAATACACTTTTACCTCCAGATTGACTTTCACCTCAGAGGCATATGGGGATTCACATTTCAGATTTACGATTCTTTCCCGGAGCACCTGAAGGCATCTCCCGTCTCCACGACTACATCCGGGACATTTAACAGCTCCACATGTCGGCAGGTTCAGATGCCAAAGACTTTCTTGCATGAGAAGAAGCTGTTTTAGTTACTCTCGTTTCAACGACGCCGTTTGGAAGAAGAGATGGTAACTTCATTTATAGTCTTATATATAAAAACAGCTTCTTACAGAGTGCTGGGAAGCCCACTGACGAGCGCTTTTTAGGTGTTCCGGAGGCAGTTAGAGCTAGTTTGCTAATGCTAACCAGCTGTACTGACAGGTGGTGGACCTCCAGTTAAATTTAGCACGATAGCCATTTGCTCAGTTTCATTCATTTTGCAGCGGCTACCAGCGTATCGTGTTCTTAGTGCTGTTGAACGTAACCTCTTCCTGCTATTATCTCTTTAATGTCCTACGTGAGTTAGCTTCTGCCACAGACTGTTATATGTAAACAAACCGTGATGTAGCCAGCTCTACGGCTCTTCAAACTTTGCTGCGGAGTCCTTACTGTTGTAGACAAGGCGCTCGTGCTCTCTACATCATCATTATACAAAATAACGCAATGCACTCAAGTGCACGGTGGAAACTCAGTGCGTGTGTTTAATTTGACAGGCGCTGATGGGAGTTCAGCTTGTGGTCAGCTTACTGGCCGCCAGCATAATGCAGAGGATGGCTCCACATTGCTCATTTGCACGCTGGCTCCTCTGCAACGGCAGGTACTGTCAGTAATATAATCAGGTTTTACGTAATTCACACAGTGCACTAAACTGCTTTAACACATGTGCTTGTTGTTTGTTCCAGTTTGTTGCGATTCAAACACCCTTCAGAGGGAGAGCTGTGTGCCCTGGCAGGAAAGCAGATGCCCAAACAAAACAGGAGAGACAGGTGGGAAATGGAGGGCTGTGCTTCATGCTGCAGGACCACTGCGTGCTATAGCATGAAGTTATAAAGTTGTATCATGTGATTCTAGTGTTACGCCATGACAGCGTTATAGTGGGTTTCTCATCCATCCGTTTCTTCATGCTTCAGGCTTGCATTGTTATTTTTTTTCTCCATCCTTTATTTGCTCATAGGCGGCAGAATGGGGAGAATAAGCCGCTCACTGTGCCCAAAGACATTGACCTTCACCTGGAGAAAGCACCAGTCAACGTCATTGACGCTCTCGGTAAAACAAATACTTCTTCGTCCACATCACAGTAATGTTGTGCAAGAGTAAATATTACTCGAAGCCCAGCTTTCACTGTTAAGTCCCGCCGGTGGTTTGCAGCATATTCCACTGCATGGAAACTTTATTGAAATTCTCATTTTGATTGTGTTTTTGTTTTTTTTGTTCTTGTTTCTATTTTCAGTGCTGCGCTTTTTCCTGGAGTACCAGTGGCTTGTAGATTTTGCAGTCTATGCAACCGGAGTTTTCTTCTTCACTGAGTGTTACTATAGTGTGGTAGATGCCAGCAAAGAGGTTAATATTGGAGCCATCTGGTGTGTCCTGACTGTTCTCTTCTGTCTGTATCCTTCAAATGTAAAACACTCACTCTCTAGATTAGAAAGAATATATCTAGAGCCAGATTAGTTTGTGATGTTTTCCTGACTGAAGATCCTGATATGTCCACCACATTCTTGGCAGCTGTTATATCAATGAAGATGAGTTGGTAACTATCTATAGTACTGAATGAACCTAAAATCCTAATAATCTCTTTCTACAGCTAACGTTTAATCTCTTATTAGGAATACAAGCACTACTAGTGTTAAACTAATATAAAAACATTAAAAATGTCTTACAAATTGTAAGTCTTATACATGTTTAACTAAAGGTAAATTATCACTGAAATATATGTAGCTCCTTTTTTTTCTTTTTTTTTTTTTAACACCTCTTATTTGGTTTCCTTTACCATCTGACCCACAGAAAGACCCTTCACACCCTAATGAGCCACTACTTCCGCTCTGAGGAGGGTGGTGAGCGCTCAGTGTGCCTTGCCTTTGGTTTTCTGTGTCTGCTTGTGGCCATGCTAGTGTTGGTTGTCAGAGAGGACTACCTGGAGTTCGGCCTAGAGCCGGGTTTTTCCAGCCTCTTTGACAACTTGGAAATCTTTGTCAAACAGCAGGGCTACGCTGACTGGTCGTACGTATCTCCATGAAAAGATTACTTCTGATTGAAATATTGACCTGTTGTCTTTAAAGAAATGCTTGTTGCAGTAAAATTGATTTATATTAAATCTTATATGAGTTGAGTCATCTTTCAATTGGCACAGGAATGAGCCTGACTGTGTTTGATATCTGTGCTGGAAGTAGCCCTTCTTAAATATTGGTGTCACTTACTGTTAGTGGTTGCTTTAAACTCAGAATCCCAGTGACTAAGCTGACAGTGAAGCTTGGTTTGGCTGCTGTCTGTGCCTACATCGGAGCTCTCTTGGCCTTCCCTGGACTGCGGCTGGCTCAAACTCACTTAGATGCGGTGCAGATGAACTCAGACCGTCCACTCATCCAGTAAGAATTGTTATATGAAAAATAGCATGTGCTTCATGTCTTTTATTACTACACATTAGCTCTACTCTGCTCTTTCAGTTGTGTCCCTAATGTTTCCTGACAGGATTCTGCTGCATATGGGTTTTCTGTCTCCAGTCATTGTGTTGGTTTTGTGGGTGAAACCCATTGCAAGAGACTTCCTGGCCAATGCACCTATGGGAAAGACTTCTGTTACTCTGTGAGTGCTCATTTCTGATTGATTGGCTTCGAGAAGCTAGAACTAACAATCAGGAAATAGAAGAATTCTTCTAGGCAGCGCTTAGTGGACACCTGGCTAATCTCTGATAACTTCACTCTTTGCAGAGTATCCAGCGAAACATTTGACAGCATGCGTCTTTGGATCATCGTGGTGTCGTGTGTGCTGCGGCTGGGTCTCACCCGTTATCACCTCCAGGCCTACCTCAACCTAGCTCAAAAATGGGTAGAGCAGATGAAAAAGGAGGCAGGACGTATTGCTGCAATTGACATCCAACGAAAGGTCAAATGCAGTTTTAAACTTTCTCAGTATTGCATGCTTTTATCTTATAAACAGACAAATTGAGAGTTTTTAATAAAAAACAACTAAAAAAACTGTTTAAATATTTAAGGATAATTCTTAATAAAAACTTGAGTGCCTGTGTCGAGTAAAGTATCTGTGCCCGCTTCCAGGTTACACGTGTGTTTTGCTACCTGACAGTAGTTAGTCTTCAGTATCTGATTCCAATTCTGCTCATCCTATTCTCAACACTGACACTTAAGGCACTGGGTAAGTAAAATGCTCACTGAAACTCACATCTTGATATTTGAACTTTTTCTCAACCATGTAGACTTTCACAGGCCTGAAGTTCTCTGGAAATTAATCAGACATTAATTCATTTTTAAATTGACTGCTCCTTATGTCAGATTGTGCCAATTTGCTAAGAGCACTAGTGAGCGAGGGCCGTGTGTGCTGCATCCTGAAGCTCCATCCAGGCAGTTTGTTGCATAAACCAAAGTGAATATTTCTGATAGTTTCAGCATGTCTGAAGTGGATAGTTTGTATCCATAAATACTGCCAACCTAATATTTTTGATGAACAAAAGGTTCACAGATTTCTCTTAAAGTTAACTTCAAAAATACCAGCAGTCCTGGAGTCATGCTATAGAGTGGAGCATTTTTGCATTCATAGATAATCATTGGCATTGGACAAGAAGGCACTAATGGAATTGGAATTAATTAGCTATTAGCTTTTATGTCACTTGTTATTTTATGTGGTAGAAGTGACGGCGCTTGATATAAATGAGAAGTTGCAAATTTTGCCTCGGTTGTCACATTTGATCTTGTTCCTTATAACGGTGAAAATGAGGTTTAATTGGAAATTAGTTCGCATCAGAGTGCAATCGATGAAAAATTAGCCAGCCAAAAACCAGATCCAAAAATAGACTTTTGTAGGTGGCAATTTAGCTCCACCATACACCACGAGGCTGAATGCAGCGGCTCGGGTTAGACGCCGACCTGCAGCCTTTTCCTCTGTGTCTTCCCCCACTCTCTTTCCCTCCTGTCTATTCTTAATTTTTACCCTAATAAAGTAGAAAGGCCCCCCTGAAATAAATTAGACTTTTACTATATTCCGCCCTGGAAATGTAAAATTAAATTTGTGTGCTACGAGTAAGTGGACTAATTTTAGCTGGTTCTAGTCAGGAAACTGCAAACCTACTGCTGCCAGTCGCAAGGGATAAGAATTTTGGTATTGGAAGTTTTCTGGTTTCCATCAATCAGGTTTTGACTGCATGCAGATAACTGTGCCATGTGGAGAGCAAAAAAGAAAATAATTTGTTGATGAGTTAGGTCATTATTGGCAATCATCTGACAAAGATTAACTTTTCATTAGGTTAGGTTTATTAATCAGGAATTGTAAGCAAGCGGCAGATAAAAATGAAAGATTTTTTTTTTTTTTTTGGCCTGCATATTCCCAAAAACTGTCTGTTGTCCCCAGAAGCAAAATTAGCAAAATAGCTTGATTCCAAGGCTGTCTGACCAGCAAGCTGGGCATTTATTGGACAGGTCAAGCAGTCTGAATGTTAGTGAAACATAACAACCAGTTATTTGTTGCAGGGGACTTCTCCTGGAGTACAGGTGCCCAGGATACCCCTGGTGTGACACCAGCAATCATCATGCCCACAGCTGCACCTGTCTTGTCTGGAGCTCTAGATGAAGATGAAGAAGGGATGGAGGACATGGAGGAAGACATCCAAGCTACAGTAGCTCGACTGTCAGAGACTTTCACAGCGCTGCGATCTGTCCTCACACCGCTTTTCTACAGAGGGTTTTTTGCCTTTCTCACCTGGTGGGTGGCTGCCTGCCAGGTCATAAGCTCTCTGTTTGGCATCTACTTCCATCAGTACCTTATGCAAAACTAACTAAGGAAAATGGAGTGCCATACTTCTATACATCCAGCAATCAGCTCATATTATGCTGTTGCACAGGATGCCTGCAGACAGCAGAGGGGACATTTCATTAAAATAGAACTGCAGCTGGATTGCACCATCTTTCTGGTTGTAACTGATCAAGGTTGGATGCTGTCTGTTGCAATATTTACTACTTTTTGACCTTGTAACTTTTTGAGACCAGCAGGACTCTGGCATTAGTAACACACAAATATACAGAAAGAAACTGAGTGGGGTCTGCATCACAAATCAACGGCAGTTTAGTCCGCCTTAACATGTATCACAATGCTAATTCTAAATTGGCTCAGTAAAATCTGGGTTTAATTGGCCCAGAAGGTGGCACCATATACCGATACTGATGATAGCGGTGATAATTCAAATGAAGAAAATTATATTGCATTAAAAAATATGTCAGCGCAGGTGTTATTACAGCCTTATAGTGCAGTGTTTCTACACACTGGTTAACGCAAAAGTAGTTGTCAGACATTGGGGCAGTCCCTGCAGGTGGGGCGCATACAACAAAGTGAAAAATATGAAGTGAAACTTAAAGCCCTTTTCTTTTCCTTTTTTTGTGTACTATTTGCGTTAGAAGGGTCAACTGTGCAGTCTTTTTAGGTGTGTAGCTTCTATTACGCACACTACTGGTGTTGTGAAATTCTGGTAGCGTTTAGTCTAACTTGATATGCAGTAGTAACCACCTTTCATCCACCTTGTTCACGCTGCTGCCAAACCAAACTTTGTTATCCACAAAAATGAAGGATGCGTTTGACTGAGTTTATAGTCAGTTGATATCACATTATTCTTACAGTGAATTTAATGCAGGCCGTGATAGTCTTGTGATGAAATATGACAGAGTTCACATTCAGGTTCAAAACATTCACCAGCAAGTTAATTTGGATATTGCATTGATAAAACCTGGAATTCTGCAGGAATTGTCTCTGGATTTTGAAAGATTAACAAAAACAAATCTGATTTGTTTATCTGACCAAAATAGTGCATTTGCTTTAACTGTTAATAAATGGTGCCTGTAACCGTATGCTTACTTGACATGCAGCTATAATTGCCTCACCCTAGATGAGAGTAAGACAAACTGGTATACGAATTGTTTATTAAAACTCTTGTTTTAAATGCAAAGTGCTCAGTAATTGTCAGGATACTGAAGAGTCCAGCTTTTGTTTTGTTTTCTCTTTTCCCAGAAAGACTTGTTAAAGTCTGTTTTTCTGAAAGGTAACCCTGCCTGAAGCAGGTTAATCATACAGTGTTGGTTACCATTGTTATTTACTGAGGCTAAAATTGAACCAGCTTTGTGATGATGTTAAACCAGAGTTAATGCCAAATGCTGCTGGATTACCTACGGAGCTCTCTTTGTGATACAGACCCCAGTGTTATCTAATAACTTCTTTAATAGAACATTTTTCTGCAACTTCTCACATGTATCTATGCCAGTGTTACTGAGTTGTTGTTTTTTTTGTTTGTTTGTTTTTTTATTTTCAAAGGAACACTGTTAAATGCTGCATTTATGATCTTTGGAGGTACCAGGACAAGTATGAATATTTTAATGCCTGAGTAATAAGACATATTTTTGTGAGGGACTCTTTGCAGTCCTTAAAGAACCGATTCACGAGTGCTACTTTTTGAGTTTTATTTTTTGGGGGGGATTTTTTATTTTTTTGGTTTTGTGTTGTTTTGATTTTGTGTGTATGTGTGCGTGCGTGTCTTTTTCTGCTTCTTTTTCCTGTTTTTCTGTGTGGGCGTAATTTTCAGATCGAGCCTACTGAGTGTAATGCAGTGTGGCTGTGTATTAGTGTTTGAAAGCCAAACACCGTGGAGCTGTTGCTCTTTATCTTGAAGTGCCTGGGAGCTCAGGGATTTTGAATGTTTTGAAATCTCCTTCCTCCCTGTTCATGTGTATTTAGAACAAGCTGATATTCTGCAGTGAACACTGCAGGTACATTTCTGTTTTACCCATTAATTTTCAAACACTACCCATGAACAACATGCTAGTTGCAGTGTCTTAATCGCCTCTTTTACTTCATAGGTTTTGTTGTTGCTGCCAATCAGCCATGTATATGTCAGACTAATCAAAACCTTCTCTGAATCAGTCTTCATCAGTGTTTTTTATTTATTTTATTTATGATACATTGATTAACTTTGTGGATGGTTTTGATCATTAGTATGTTTTCTTTAGATGGCGTATTTGAATGCTCTGATATCATTATACTGTGAAGTTGATATGAAATGTTCCCTTAGGAGATTTTCTGAATGCATGTTGTGCAACACTTTGGCTGTAACCTGATTTTTTTTTTTCTTTTTTTTTCTTCCATGTGTGGTCCTAATAAAAAGATTTGCTGTTTTCACTTCATTTTGACTTTCTCCGTTATTTCCTCCTTCCACCACGGAGCGTGGGAGATGTTACAGATAGAACATTTCCTTTTAAAGAACTGGTACTCCATTGACAAAAGACATGGATGACAATGGAGCGTCTAGTCGCTGTGCAGGGTGCTGATCTCTGACCCCAACCTCCTGAGAAGATCGTTCTTTAATCACTGGTAATTATTATGCACCTAATGCCCCCTGGACTCTGAGAAGAAATGTTTGCGGTGGATGAGCTTGGCTGTAGCAGCAAAATAATCCAGTTAATGGACAGATTTTATGCAGTTCACTGCATAATCTCTGTTTGACAGTGCAGTTTAAATCATTCATATGTATTTTGTGACATCAAAACCTTCAAAATCACATGCCAGTCAATTGTCACGTCAGCTTTTTGCAATAATGAGAAGAGAGTGACTCCTTGTTTAAAAGCTGACATGATTTAAATTCTTCCTCCAGTCAAACGTTGTGAGCATCCTTCAGTAAAAGAAGGGACATGCTCCTCACCTCACTGTCTTTTTATATGGACAACTGAAAGACATTAACAATCGCAAAGCCACTGAGAAGCAAACAGATTTGAGAGCACACCAGTTAGCAAATCCTACATCTCAGTATGAGTGCAGAAAAATTTCTAGGACAATGTTTTTGTTGCTGTGGAACATCGGTTTAATTTGAGTCAAGCTCATCCTTCTCTCTGGTGGGCCTGTAAGAATGCCTGGCCTCATGAACTGAATGGTGATATTACTTTTACGCATCTGTGCTGGAGGCCTTGGGTCCCTTCAGTCTGCTCTATGGACTGCAACAAGGCAAGTCAAACAGCCATGGCCGGCTGTGGTTGCTATAGAGGCTAGAATGTATGTCTGCGTGTGTGTGTGTGTATATATACATAGGACCCAGACATGCCTTACAGACTGGGCCTGGTCTAGTCTCATCAGACCAGACATGACCCCAGTGAAAGTCTCGTCATTTAAGGTGGAGAGACGACAGCTCAATACTGTGTGTGTGTCTCTGTGTGTGCCCACCGTGAAAAGGCAGGTCAATTCTCCATAGAGGCAGCATAGGAAAACATTTTGGCATGGTTACTATGAAACAACCAGCTATGGAAATTACCCTATTTGTGCCCCTTTTTTGTCTTGTTTGGAAGAAATAAAGGTTTCCAGGCTTTTGCGTGGTCTATTTTTGTTCCTCTCGTTTGGTGGGTGCATGGTGAGCTGCCTGACAGGGCCCTGACATGATAATGAGGGAGTGTGTGTGTATTCAAAAGATAGAATGCAGGTGAATAAAATGAAATAAATGGACACATGAAAGCTACACAGTGAAGGGCACTTTACCTGCTTTCAGAATTAATGTACATAAAAACAGAGGGAAATGATTCCCTTTTATGCCATTAATTTATTAATTATTAATTAATTAATTATGACATTTTTTTCATCTGAGAAAAATGATAAACTGAATGTCCTAAAATTTAAAAAAAAACAAAAACAAACTCAGACTGGGGCAAACACACAAAGTAAACAGTCTTTATTTTAAAATGATTCACAAAAAATGTCAAAAAATGCCTCTGTTTTGTTTTGTTAGTGAAGCATCCAGCAAATATGTATGTATATACGTGTTTAAAAAATCAATCAGAAACATCAGAATACTGACAACTTGGCTTTTCATGTTTCATGCTAATATTAATCCACAAAAATCCACATATCATGAAAAGAGAGATAAATCGACAGTGGAACTTGTATTTGAAAACCTCCACAAGCTGGATTTTAGCAGGAGTTTAATTTAATGAGCCGATTAACCGATTTATTAGATAAAGAATTACCTGTTAAGGCTGGTCTTCACTGCTCTGCACTTTAACCAGTCTCAGTCAGATTAAAAGTGTGAAATAAGACGACCCCTTGTGGACAGTGAATGAAAATTATCTCCTTTTTAAAAATTTATTTTTTTTATTTTTTTGTCATTTGAAGATCAGAAACTGAAAAACGCAAAACTAAAAGACATAGAGGTATCCAGTGCACAAGATTAAAAAGTAAATGTATACATAAATGAAACCCGGATAATAAATGAACAAATGAATGGATATTTGGACTCATCTACTACAGCTTGTCTCGTGTTTTAACACATCATAAACGCAGGAATATCTACACTAAACACTTACTACACAAAGCCCTTCAGGAAGAGCACATGATTGCTGCTGTTTAGAAAAAATCGACCAAATAAAGACAAATAGATCCTTTTTGGGCTGTTGCAGTATTTGTGTGCAATGCAGAGGGACAATAATTAAACACTTTGGTCTTAGCAGACTGCTGTGAGTGTTTCTGACAACATAAAATGATCATATTACAACAATACTAAAGATTTAAAAAACAAAAAACAAAACAACACTTGAAAAAGAAAACCATTTTTACATCCCAAAGAGCTCATTGACCTAATCTCTGACACAGACTGATGCCCAGAATCTTAAAAGGGTGGGTTCACATTTTTTCAACTCTTTCTTTTTTTTTAGATGATACTGCTGCAAAATGTCCCTCCAGTTCTGCAAATATCTTCTTTTGTTGTGAATCATTTGTAAGAGATGTGGGGCCAAGACACAGGAAGACAATCTGAGGCTACGGCAGTCTCATTTAAGTTGGGATATTTTCAGAGCGAAACTTCCTTTTTCTTTGTTTCTCTACAAAGGATGCCTTTGCTTTAACATGAGAATGTGCTTTGTAAAGCAACAGCAATAAAACACTGTCTGGACAAAACAAATAATTCAGACAGAAGAAACCTCCTGTTAGCTGAATTTTATGTGTTGTTAAAGAAAAAATAGACAGTGGCTTTCATACCTAGATTTCTCTCATTAAAATTCCATTACGAAGGTATTTTCACATCTGAAAGGAGAAAAAGGAAAAACTGTGATAACTAAAAAAAAACTTTTATTTTAAGAACGTATCCAATTAAATGCCCTGTTGTGTAACCTTATCACATAAAACCCCAGTCAAGCTACTTTTTTAGTACCTCCTATTTTTTTTTTTTAATATTTTATTTTATTTTGGCTTTGAAAGCTGAATATGTATGGACTTTTTTTTTTCATATGTGCACTTCAGAGAAATTCAGTTGGTCCCACACTGCTGCTGTGCCCAACTTCAACAAAGTCACAAGAAAACAATCACATTTCCAACTTGTACTTTTGATTCACATTAGCTCCACACAGAAAACTAACTCTAACCAAACAAAAAGCAAAAGTCTGTATGCATCTATCTCCTCATGGGATCAAGCAAGTGATGCAGAGAAGAATTCTCCACTGCCCAGGAGAGACCAGCTCTGTTTGAGGAGACAAAGAGAGGCATACGTCGACCCTTTATGGTTTTGTCTGAAGACAGATGTTGACTGAGAGTGGGTTGTAGAGCGGAGCAGCTGGCTATCTCTGCCAGCCGTCGCTCATCTCTAACTGCCGGAGCGACTGCCCTCCTTCCTCTTGGTCTTGTGGGTAGCCGGTTTTGGCAAACTCTTTTGTGCCATTGGCTGGGTGGCTATCTGGAGGGGTATGACGAGCTGAATCGGGGTTGCTCATTGGAGAATGCTGCCTGAGGTGGTGCAGAGGAGGGGAGGTAGGTGAGGCCATGTGCTCAGGAGAGCTACGCTCCGATTTGATGTTGATGTTGAGGGACGGCAGATGCGGAGAGGTTGGAGTGCAGGACTGAGAGGGGAAAGAGCATCCCCCGCTGGACCCTCTGAAAACAACAAGAGGGTGGAGGAAATGAATTTGGATTGAAACACGTCATCAGTCCTGGAGTTACAGCTAAGGGGCACTAGAAGTAGCTTGAAGATAATTTAAAGACAGTCAAAACTGCTTGTGAACATGGCATTTAAGAGTCAACTATCACTAATGGTTCAAAATTATATATACAGTGGATTTACTGTATTATGTCTAGAATAATATATGATATGCTCACACAGGATTTATATGAGGCCCATGAGGCTCCTGAGGTGGCTGCGCCGCTTGCCAGGGGTTTACTGTTCCTCGTTGTAAACTGACTGAGTGATAAAAACCAGGCTGGCTGTACTCTGCAAAGGAAGAATAGATATACATCGATTTGGAGAGGACAGGGGGGGAAACAGGAGAAAAGATACAGTTTAATAAAATGGTTTCATTTTAAGACAAGATAAACTTCACAGCAAGGCTGGTTTGACATTTTGGGAAATACCCTTTGTAGTTTTTATCGATGACCACAAGATAAGAAGACTGTAACCTCCCATCACTCATGTCTACACTAGAGATGAAGTTAGAGTCAGAAGATGTTCTGCTTAATTTGGAACAGTGTAAAAAAACCCTAACAAAATTTCCCTTTCTTTTTCTTCTTCTTCTTTCTTTCTTTCTTTCTTTCTTTCTTTCTTTCTTTCTTTCTTTCTTTCTTTCTTTCTTTCTTTCTTTCTTTCTTTCTTTCTTTATTTATTTCTTTATTTATTTATACCTTCTGTGGAACTAATTCCTGGCTGGGTTTAGCAAGAAAGGCAATGTTTTCTCATGATAAATTCACCAGAAAACCGCCTGAAACTCTCCAAGCTCCTGGTCCTGCACAAACTCCAAACCTTTTTTTTTTACACGGCTCAGAATGAGAAAAGGTTTGTTCAGTATCCTTGCTTTGCAGTTGTTATCCTAAGCTATGCTAAGAGAGGATATGTGTGGTTTAGTTTTGCCATACAGACATGAGAGTGGCATTAACACTCTGATATAACCTGTTAACATGTCAAGCTATTGCTGTATGACTACTTTGTTAGTTGCCATATATTTTTCATATATTTCTTTTTTCTTTCTTTCTATAGTAACAGGACACAGATGACATACCAGAGGCTCCAGGGGAGGGGAGACCATATCCTCCCAAACTGTGACTCAGCAGCCCTGCCTTCCCCATAGCCACCATGGAGCTGCTGCTGTGCAGGCCCTGGTATAAAAGACCCCTCTGATGATCAGAGAAAGGGAAACAGTCATACTGGAAATCTTGAGTTTGTACTGATATAGTGAAGTCAGTGTATGAACACTATGAAACTTGTGAACATTATAATTGTGAGAGGTGTGAATGAGTCAAAAAACCTGTGAAGTTTCTTGTCCAAGTTTGCAGAACTATTTATGTGTTTTGGTATTTAATTAAGAACTTTAGTTTTTAGAAGCAGTACGACATCTATTAGAGGCACTGACACCTATTTGTTTTGATCACACTGGATAGCACAGCTACTTACAGCGGAGTTGTGGTTAGCACGTGTGGCCCCCATGGCCTGATTAGCACCATCTGCCCGCAGGTTTTCAGTGCCCACGTTCAGAGGAGGAGGGCTTTTCATGTCCAGAGCTCGATTGAGGTTGCCATGGGAAAACACAGAGTAGCCGATACCTAAAGAGTAAAAAAAAGGAGCAGGAAGTGAAAAGCGATCTAAGCCCGTTCCACTACTGTCATTTATTCTTTGTGATACAATCATCACCTCCCTCTGTTGCGGTATACAAGTGTGATTTTGAAAAAAAGAACTTCTTCTTTTCCTTTAACCTTTGAATGAGTATCAAGCCTTCGTGAGACACCAGGCAGGTCTGAATACTTATAATATGTGCAACTGTACTGAATATACTGTAACTCATGTGACAGAGTCCATTGCGAACGCAATGTAAACCAACAATCACTGTCAAATCTTAGATATAACAGAGCAGTGCATTTAGAATCACTAAAAATGTCAGTGATCAGTATTTAATGACATCCCAGTGCATCCAAATAGTTAGAGACTGTATGATGGCTGACATGATAGGCAGGTGTGATGCATTCTGAATAGAAACCACAGAGCTGGTTGTAGCTGCAGTTACACTGTTGGAGGGCCAGTTTCACATAACAGACCGACTGCGCACAAGCACACATACACACACAAACACACACACTTCCTGTGAGTTCACAGCCAGCTGCACAGATGGTTGACAGTACACACGAATTTTACAGAAAGCATTTAACAAGAAGTTAGAAGAGTGGCTCATGGATTTTCATGTGAAAAGCTATGACTCTGTTTAAAGGTAGAATAATACTGGTAGATTATTTGTGGTGGTAGATGAAATTTTAAAAAATCATTTAGACTTTGGTTTCATCATGAAAGCGTTAAAAAAACACAAATAACTCACAAATGAGCCTGAATGAACCTGACAAAGGCCCAACATTTGTGGAACTTGTCAAAAGCGATACATAGATGCAATAGAAACTGATGTGTTTTTTCAAACACAAGACATACACAAATAGATACTACCCTTAGTAGTTATGATGATTCTGGTATAGGACTTAATGAGACTAACCCGAGTGTGGAGACATGAATGCAGTGTGTGCATGGGGTGCAGCAGGACTGGCCGAGCTGGATCTGGAGTTTAGAGATTTAAAGCTCGGGGGTCTGTGGGAGGTCATGCCGGATCCGGATGAATTGGGAAAACCATTCTCGCAACCTGCAGACACGAGGAACTGTGCCTCTGGCGAGAGCAGAGAGGGACCCTGAAGAGTAAAACACATAACGTGTAATTTTGACAACAGTATGGATTAAAGATCAGTTAATTAAAGATGCTTTCGTAACACAGAATTCTAATTAGAAGTCAGTTTGTCTGTGTTTGGTCTGTGCGTGTTGAGTGTAAGTACGGAGTAAGGAGTAAGTATGTGGTCACTAACATAGAAGCGCTGGCGAGCCACAGAGAGATCCATGCCCTCACTTAGAGGATACTTGTCTGACGCCACCTGCATGCTCTCCTCACTGTCAAGCTCTGAGCCATCAAGTCCGAGTCCTTTCCTACGCAGGGTCTGATGCAGAAGAGAAAGTGCACATGGAAAATTACTGGCAACAATAGCACAATGGTTTCGAACCACAACAATGTCACGGGAAAGGGTTTTCACTCAAAATATAACACCTGTTTTTCCAATTATTTTTTTTACAATATCCTTCCAGAGGCTTTATATCGAATAATTGTATGTTCTGTTAAAAATTGGTTTATGTTTCAGATCAACTGCGTATGAGAAGCTTTCACATACTTCTTTTTTAAAAGCTCCTAAAATAGTACCTCCAGTATGTCCGTGTTGGTGCGACTCTCGTGTGGCTCGCTGTACTCGGTGTATTTTAGCAGAACTTTATCCATGTCTGTGCTGGCGTACTGGAACAGACGGTTCGTGCTGTTGAATATGATGAGAGCGATCTCGCAGTCACAGAGCACGCTCAGCTCGTAAGCTTTCTTCATCAGGCCAAATTTACGTTTGGTGAAGGTCACCTGTGACAGAAGAAAAACAGGTTTGCACTTTTAACTCCCTCCAGTTAACTCTGCAAAGTTGTGAGCATGACAAATTAAGGAAGTTGGATAATTAAAAATAAAATAAAATAAAATAAAATAAAATAAAATAAAAT